GGCAATGGAAGGCGATCAGTCTACCTAGGTCGGTTAGGTATGTAATACAGCACCCCTCAATGTTTAATGCAACCTAAGCATTACAGGAGTATCATTGGTAGTCACCAATGCCGTAAAAGACATTCGCCTGTAACCCCAGACCCATACGTGAAAGCGGGTACGGCCGGCTTGCGCCATGTGAGATATAACTGTCACACAGCTGATACGTACTTATTAAGACGTCGAAGGCGCCAATATTGATGAAAATTGCTGATAATCTGATTGATTGTGTTGAGATCGTGAGAACGTGAGAACGAGCGATGCACTCATGCCGTTCATGTTTCCATTTTCTCAATCCTTGTTGAATTTGCTTTAGCTTATTCGGTGAGGAACTTTACTTTATAATGTGGCTGTTTCGTAGTCTGGCTTATGTCTCTCCACATGACTGAAATATGTGTAAGGTATGGCCTTGTGCTAATAAGAAAAACCATATCTCGGTTTTCGAGTATCGGCAAAGTAGTATCTAAAGATATACGGCCACTAATAACCGCCTGGTTTCCAGCTTTGATGATGAGGTCCCTGTGGCTTTTTACTTTTAGGACCATATATGGAAATCAAAGATTACTGTTGTTGGGCCAGAAACATTGGCAAGAAGATGTATTCGATGCTCTTTTGTCTAGATTAGACATCTCAGGTATGCGCGAAGATTTATACCCGAATAATATATCGGGTACCGGAACCATCAACGGTCTTCGCTATTTCTATATGGAGTAATTTTTGGAAAGAAATGAAACCCTAACGTCATATCTAAGCGGACTCACGTATAAGGGGGCCTCGGGATCTTCCGTATTTGCGGAAACGACGTGTTTTAATGTCTCAAATTTAAATTCTTTATCCTCATTAGAAACTATAAGCCGTTGGTATCCTCCGAAGCTTTTGTCTTTTTAACCTGTCGATCTGACGAGGTCTCCCTAGCCAGCATCGTGGCTAGCCTCAAGCTAGCCAACGGGGTGGATAGCCCTAGTCCGTGGAGCCTCTCGCTTCTTATAAGAAGAAGCCACACACACATAGTAGATAGCTTCCTTAGATCAATTCAATCCTCATCTTACGATCCCTCCTCAGCCAGGATAATCCTTTGACATAACCTCAATCCAGTTTTCACGCATGAGGTCGAAATCCTTAATAAGTTCCTCTACATAGATAGGTACTCAGCATCATATGCTCCTTCTATAGCAACATTCGAATATCTTCTATGTATCCCGTGTATATTGTTGGGAATGTCGTCTATTGGACAAGCATGTATCTTATTTAGCTCCCTCTAAATCCACTCTGGAAACCGAGTATAGTCTTCTTGTATCTCGATCGAATTAAGACGAAGAGTATGGGACCGAAACCTTTCATTTATTAAATCACATCCCCTGCGTTCAACGGATGTAGTCTGAGTACCATCCATTGTGAAGGAGTCTGAGCTCGCGTATGTCGGATAAGGTTTTTCTAGAGTTGGTGGTCTCGGGTCGTCAATATTAAGCCAGGCGGCTATTTTGGGATTATTTCGGGAAATGAATTCTTCAACAGTAGATGGCCGAGTGTCGATGTTCTCGGCCGGGGCCACTTGTAGTGGAGGCGCGTTGGGAATTGTTTAGGACGGTTCCCCCGGCCGTGCCCTGGCTACTCCTATAAAAGACTCTGGCACGGAATGTGACTTGGGGTTTTTCATACGAACTAAACTGGCATCAGGTGAGTTGCTACGTGGTCGCTTTTTAGATTGGAAGTGGTCTTTAGGCTGTGTGCAGCTCTCATACAGTGGCTGCTTGATACTAGAACACCGCGTATCATGATAGTCACAGGATGATATCGGCGAGGGAAACTTTTCCCCTGGCTCTGAATCAGATGGCGAAGGATGGCTGAGCGGTACTTGCTCTTGTCCTACGGTTTGAGGACTCATGATGGCGCTTAACTCCGAAAATGAACAGGGTAGAGAATAATTATATCACATAGGTTTCGGGGATGGCTATGACTGCTCGTAAAAAGGTTTTTGACCTTCTAATAACTTGGCATTGTGTGCTGTAAAAAGGTGACTTGTAAGATGATGTTAATGTGGCCGGTAAGTTTAGCGTTAAGTACATTCGACTGGGGAAAATTGACAAATGGATTCAATTAATGACAGACAAAAATAACAACAATAAAGGTTGTTTGGTACAAAGGAAGAGGTCAAAATAAAGAATTTATTTAAGACAAAACAGTGCAAGCCTATTCTATGCTAAAATAGTAAATGTAGTACGAAAACCGTGGTGTTCTTGTTAAAAACATTTACCACAAAATTTGGTTTCACTATATTTTCTAAAAAATCGAGATCTGATATGTAAACAAGATCCGACCTGTAAGTATTACATTTGGTAAAATCTTAGATGTGGTCTTGTTGATTCATCTTTTTAACCATTGTTATATCTAATAAACCTGATGCATCTTAGAGATCGTCGAAAAAGGTATTCGACATGATATCACATCCATGTTTCAGTAGGTAGTAGGTAGGTACTTTATTAGAATACTCACCGGGTTGGTGATACAATGTTATATATTGGATAGGTAGTTCTCAAGGATTGTTTAGAAGGTATCAGTCTTTACTCGTCCCCGGTAAAGTGTTAATTTATAACCCGAAGAATCATCGCGAAAGAAAAGGTACTGGGTACCTAGGTATATACCCAGCCATGGCGGCGCCACCCCGATATTAATATGCATATAAAAACGATCGTAACCATAAACTCATAAAAATTATATTAAGTGCCCTACCTACGTATTTACCTCTCACCTATAATGCTTGTCCTACGCCGGAAGCGCGGTGAATCCCTGCCAATACCCGTGCCTGGTTCCAAGTTCTATTTCTTAATATATTACTAAGACCTACATATATGAACTTTGGGGTAGAGGAACTCCTACATATTTCCATGATGAAGAGAACGTGTATGCTGTTTAATTTTACCAGCTCTATTTTTCCTTTCCATATCACATTTCTGCGGTAGTTGTTTCACGATATTGACATGGGGAGATTTAATGATTGATCGCAACCGCTAGCAGGGGAAAAGTGGCCACTAAACGAGTATGAGAGGCCGAAATCGAGATCATCAAACAGCTTTACTTTCCAGTTGACGAATCTCGCACTTGAAATTAACATACCTGCTTCTAATTGTTTTATATTTCTATCAAGCTATGTGAATATATCGTTTCCTTGCGATGCAGTATTGTCCTTTGAAGCAACCCCTGAGTAATAAGCTGTTCTAGTTAAGTGAGCGACATCCATAGGAATTTTAATCGGTTGTTCTAAAGCTAACAACTACTTTATTGTAAGATCTCACTGAAATTTTATTTTCATAGAAAGTTATTATGCCGAGCGAGAGTGAACAAGCTTTCATCCGAGAGGTGTGGGGATTACAAGGAACCGCCTACCTTATTGTCGCCCTTCGCTATTATAGCAGATTTTCGATCTTAGGATGGCAAAGTCTAGCCTGGGATGATGCCATTATGTTTCTAGCTGTTGTAAGTTGCTGATGGTTACGATCAGGTCTAATTAAGTTCAGCCACTGAGATGTCGTTTTCAGGTAGTTCATACAGCAGAATCGCTCATGGCGTATCTTGTTGTAGCTACCTGGAAAGGCCTTGCCAACAATGCCATGACTGGCGCGCAACGTGCAGCGCTTGATCCGCAGTCGAATGAGTGGTATCTACGAGTAAATGGGTCAAAGACTCATGTTGTTGGTCTTATACTCTATACTACGCTTCTCTGGCTACTAAAGGCATGTTGGTTGGTATATTATGCGCGTCTCACGTACGTCAACAAGGATAACCCGAGAAATAATCTGATACTGACTCTACATAGGGAGGGGGTTAATAACATGCATCGGCTAATACGCTGTGGCATCATCATCGTTGGTGTGACTTATGTATCTTGCCTACTCGTTGCCTTCTTGAAATGCATTCCTTTCCACCATCAGTGGCAAATCAATCCTTCGCCAGGAAGTGAGTACCATGGGCGACTTGGATACAGTTTCTATCGAAGAAAGTTAACAATAAGTTGTTAGATAATTGCATGCCTGCAATTTCAGCTGTCCAAACTATATTTGTCATGATTACGAATACGCTCACTGATTTCTATCTGATGGCTATACCATTACCTGTACGTCTATTAAATTACGATTGAGATTGTTATAGAACTAACACAATTCGCTGATTAGGTGGTGTGGAAGTCACATCTTCCCTGGAGAAAGAAGTTCATACTTCTAATCATGTTTAGCGGAGGTTTCCTTGAGATGGCATTTGGTATTCTGAGATGTGTATCTATCTTGAGAGTAAGTTTTCGTCCTTTGGATTTGTCTCCTTTATATGCGCCTTGGGCCTTTTCGTCCTACTGGTGTTAGATAAGTTGAAGCTATCTGCTGAAAAACTGGACTAAATAGCTCGGCGACATTGATCCTGCTCAGTCAGGCTACTGGTCTGTCCGTGAATCATTCGTTTCGGTTGTCTTAACGAACATGCCCATGGTATACCCAATATTTAGAAGGTTTATCGAAAAGGGTCTTAGTGCGAGTAGATCAAGAGCTACAAGTCAGGGGGATACTAGGGGTTACAAGCTCAGTAGTCTGCCGGGGCGCGCCGCATCTACGGGACGAAGACAGAACCTCTCCTTTTCCGAGCCGAACGACACTGCATGGGATTCTGAAGAGCATATCATCGCTGATAGAGGCCAGGGACGCTCTATAGGTCGCGAGGAGGGTTCTATAAATCTTCCGAAACATCAAACGATTGGAATTACATTTGACGAAAGTGGGATACCTGGGGGGTCGGCGGCGGCGGCGGATGAAAGCCATCAGATCATGGTTACTAAAGAATATACAGTCACAGAAGGGTCTACATGTGGTTCAGGGACTATGAGCAGTCCCGGCTTCTTGAACTAGTTGCTCTTTACCCTTAGAAGAAGTAGTTTTACCCCTCCCCAAACATACTTGGAATTATGAATGAACTTCCCCGCTAAATGCGACAGCCACCTGATATATGTTTATTAATAACGCCAATCACCAGCACGGTTCCGAGACATAAGCACTAGAGAATAGTGGACTGAGACAATATCTAGGGCTTTTGAAATGGATGATAGGTAGTTCCTATCCAGCTTGAAATAAGTTCCTATATAGCTTAAGACTTGATGTACTTGGCTCCAATTCCCTTCTGGACGGCGGAGCGCTGGGCAATGCGGTCAATCCACTGTAACAGATGCGGGAACTTTTCGACTTCCTGCTTGGTGAAACCGCTCCTTTCCCACCCTTTAACCCAGGGCCATGTCTTAATGTCTGCCACGGAATACTTCCCTTTCCCTTTGCCGGCCAGGTATTCCCTCGGCTCACCGGTGTACTTCCCGGAGAGTCTGATCTCAAGCACCTCATAAACTCTCAATGTCTCGTTCCTGAAGCGGTTGATAGCATCTTCGCCGTGTTAGCTCCCCGCCAATGCTTTCATGTATACTGAATGTATACTGATTTGAAAACTTACATTCAATCTTCTCAGGGGCAACCTTGGTGAAGTGGTTGACTTGGCCTTGATAAGGGGCCCCGGATCCGTGCCAGAAGAAAGTCCACTGCAGCGCTTCGTTACTCTCGAGGCCATCCGCAAAGCCGAACTTATGGTCCTTGTCTGCGGCTTGCAATAAATACCACAGTTCAGCTGACGTCTCATGGACAGGGAAAGGGGGGCTCTGATTGTTGTCAACCAAGACCGGAATGCGACCGTTGGGATTCAATCGCAGAAACCATTCTTTCTTTTGCTCATTGGTCGAGATATCTATCAGTGTAGTCGTCCACGACGTGCCATATGTCTCGGCAAGTTCCTCTAGGAGGATTTGTACGGCTTGCCCATTTGGAGTATTCTGCGTGATCAGGTGGAGGCCCTTGGCGTTTTTAACCTCTTCAGGGGTTTCGGAGATATAAAGCTTGTCGGCCATGGTTAAAATGATCGAATTATTGAATTGATATATATAGGTAGGTACTTAGGATATATATATCACTGATCTTGGTCGAAAGTGTATGGGCTTTTGGAAAGTGTATTGTATTTCTGAGAAGAGAGAATACAGACAGGTATCTTGGGAGGTAGATATATGAGGTAGGGTAGGTCGGCGTGATGTACCTAAGGTATTAGTGAGGGGGTGATGAGGAATCAACGGCATGACGACAGAATGCGCCCATATTGTGAATCAAACATCAGTAACTATATCTTAATCAAGGTTGATTAATAATACCGGAATATACATATTCTTTATTTGTCATCAGCAATATCTTCGCTGTCAGACTATTTATTTCAACGCTCGGGTAATATTCCCATTGTTGTCGCTTATGGACAGAGTACTTGGGTACTTTTGAACACCTGCACACAGCTGGCGAATTCATACCTTAGGTACCTACGGATTGCTTATACATGCATCTTACAAATGTAAGTTGCCGGAATGGCGTCAAAAAACATGCATGTGGTGGCTAGTATGTATGGGGTATCTTTCGTGACGCCATTCTATTTGCGCATACATGCAACTCAATTTCTTACATGATAAAAAGACGAGAGGTAGTTTCGGTATGATTGAATATTTATCGTCAGCAATGAGTTTAAAACACCTCCATATCGGAACATCATATATTACATACCTCACTACATCCCTCTATCTTATAAATTCTACCTGGCACGCGGCCCGACCACTACGCTTAAGTGCCTTAGGGGATGGAACCTTCCCCCCTATTCTTCGACGTGGCACGCTTTCAACATCGTGATAAGAATATAAAGGAATACCCGTCGCTATCTAGCAATTAAATTAGTTACCAATGAATGTAATATACATTGTGTCAAACCATTCATGCCTATGACAAGCAGGTCAAACTGTTGAAGTAAGTATAGGGTAGAGGAAGCAGAAAAATTGCAAGAGATGATGGTAGCATTTGACTTTCATTCATCGCAACCTAGGTACCTATTTTCCTACCGAGGGTATTGAGGTCGGTTTGATATCTGCATACCTAAGCGTTAAGACTAGGTCAATTCCTTATGAAAGCTACCTCATTATCAACCCTGAAAGTCCAGTATTCGGATATTGGCACACAAGGTTTGTTTAATAGTCATTATTACTAGCCTAAGGGTATCTTCATTCTAATTAAACCTTTTAAAGTGCGTATAGTGAGTGAAACGTCGGTTTTCTACACTATTTAATACAGAAACATATACTAAGAAATGAAACGAAACAAAATAAAGCAGAACAAGAAAAAAAAGTACGGGCGCTGTCCGTTTTACATCATCCCCTTTGCTACACCTATCATCAGCAAATTAGCATGCATCATATTTCCGTCGTTTCTCTTTGTGGTACGAGGATCCGGAGTAAGTAAGCCAGAAAGAAATGCGTGAGGTAAGCCGTTCAGCATAAAGAGGATCCGACAAAGCCATCGATTTATTAAACACCACCTCTTGGGTGTCCGGGATTATTGGTCAATGACAGCTCATCCTCAACCCTGTCGAAGGATCTCCCTCTTACTTTGTCATGTTCGTGATTGGACGCAATATCCGAGTTTGACGTGCTCTCTATCCGAACGTCGACTCTTCTGTGGATTCCGTTCATATCCTTCAACCCATCGAAGTCCTCGTCTGATCCTCGACCTCCTACGGTGGTTGTGTGATATGTGTTCATCAGAACGGCCTCATTACGATGGGTATGATGAACGCCGGATGGCCCGGCTTGACTTCGATTCTTTGCGTATGAAAGAGAAATGTCGTGCTCGTGTGTATCCTCGTCTCCTAATCCGGCCTCTCGAGCGAGTTTGGTAATTAAGGTGGCCATGGACATTTCGATATTGAGTTTCACCATATACGCGACGGGGTGGAATTGAACGAAGACGATTGGGTTCGGGTGGGACATTAAACAAATGAGCATGACCTTGGATTATAAGTTAGCTTGGTTCGGGTTTGAAGGGCATTCTTTCATTGCTACTTACATCCATAAGAATTGAGACGACCATAAGCTTATCGTTGAATTTAGCCAGAGGGGCGTACTTGATCAACCCATGCTGCTCAACAAGCCGCTTTCTCACTGACCGTGAGAAATAATAATTGAGGGCAGCATCGACGAGAAGGATGAGACATTTGGAAGTTCTATCCCAGTACTTATTAATATCGACGTACCTTTAAATATCATGTTAGCAATTTCCTCTTATTAATAGGCAACTACAATTTACTTACAGCTGGCTTACGGGAGGGACCAAGTGAGCTGGGATAAAAATGCAGAAAACTGCAATGTTGATAGCTGTGATAATAATAGCAGTCCCGTATTTGAGCTTTTGTATAGTATCTTGACGCTCCGCAATAACCGCAATTCGATTTATGATGATTTGCATCAGCAACTGGATTTCGAACACCCAGGATAACAGTATAAAAAATAGAAGCGGTATACTATGATGATGGCGATTTAGCTGGTTGTAATAATGCACATTTGGCGAATCGTTAGGTACTTACGTCGGTTTATCTCCGAAATGTCCATCGATCCAAAGGTAACCAACGATAAGAATGATTAAATTTGCCGCGATCTCCCCCCAAAGCATGTAAATCTGTAAATGTATCACGTTAGAATATTGCGAGAACAGAGGTGTTGGATGTGTGCGTCTGCAGAGTAGCACTGCCCTGAGTGGATCTGCCTCATAGTTTGCGAATCGTAAAGAGGTAGGTTAGGTTAGGTAGCTACTCACATATGTGCTGCGAAGGGGATTTCGATTTCGGCGTGTTTGCTTTATGGCCTCCCAAACTGTCAATATACCAAAGCCCATCGAGAAGCCGGCAGCCAAAGAGGCAACTTGAATATCGGATTGGCTCGTCATGATTCTCAAGTCCACAGAATTATCTCTTCCTAGCAATGATGGTGGCGCAGGTCTTTGGACTCTGCAAGTTGACGCACGAACACGTCAACGAAGGTTGAACGGCTGGGCTAGTGCTACAATCTTAGTCAGTATTCGCGGAGGAAACTGGGGGAAATATCATGTTTACCAAGATAGGTACCTATTTATTAATGTAACTTGATGGACAAGCTCAACTTCATAAGTTCCGGGGCAATGGGCCAGCCAATGCTTGGAAGGTTCCGCCTCCTTGGGTTTAGTGGCTTATAGTTTGACACTTTCGCTTAGACTAGATAGCGGAACGATGCCGGACATTACTTTTAGGTGACGGGCTCCGTAAGTTTAGACTTGTTCAAGAGACTATTGTATCCTGAAGAGTTTAGTTGCCGATCGAGACCTTTATTTATTAATGGGTTACGTTTAGTGCAAGCTGTCAAATCGTTTATGTATGGTACGATGAAAATTCGTAACTGTACGAGACTTAGATATAGTTACCTTATGTATAGGGTAGGAGCTAGGTAGAATTGGTAGTAGTTATTGTGGGCTATAAGGAACCCCTTATTTCCATTACCCTGTTTCAAGGTCAAATATGAAAGATGTTAGCTTAATCTGCTAAATCTGTCTAAAGAATGATTGGACGCCGGGATCTCAGGTACTCTCAGATCGCAACGAATGCCGTAACTACGCTAATGCCATAGTTATGTAACGCTATAAGAGACTAGCGGCCGGCTTTATTAAGCGGCAAATTCTCTGGTGCAGAGACTCTTAAGCCGCGTGGATTCGACACCGATGGACCCTCTAGTCATACATAGTGTAGTTCATGCGAGTGATGAAAGTGGATTTTTAGTTACAAGGATCTTAGATGATCGGTGTACATAATCAAAACCTGCCCAGACAAAAAATTTTAAAGATTAAAAAAAGAGGAAATCTATTAGACGTGCATCATTGACGTTGTTCATTCATTACCCTTTTCTTTGATCGAATTATTTTATTATTACTTGGCCACGCTACAAGGCCGGGATTAGTAAATGACGTAAGTCTTGTTGAATATCAGTACCTATATATTCTACCTATATATTCCAAAACTTATAAACGTAACCGAAACCAACTGGTTGCGTGACTTCCAGTTGCTGGTGAGTATCACGATGAGTTTCTAAAGGCGGATCGAGGCAAAAACTCCGTACTATGTATAAGATCCATGTCCAGCTTCCAGAACGTCGCCTCATATTTATATAGAGACGAAATAGTGTGTGGACCTATTGTACGTAAGGGCCTGGCTCCGGAAAACTCCTTACCTACTTCCGCTAATCCGGTTCGGTGCCAAGTCGGCGTCCACTAGGATAGCTACTTTCTAAGCGGATACCTCGATGCAGGTACAAGTTCTCCTATTATTCACGAGACTATTCGCAATTGATAATCTCCTGTTAATCATATGGAACGGGTACGGGATCTGCTATCAAATAATACACTATTGTTCATGTAATGCTCCCTACCTAAATCTTGCCCTCCCAGAGCCGCAAACGAGGGCTATATGACAAGGAGCTGTTTTGAGCGACTCGGACGTTGCAGTCGGGCCGTTGCAGTCAACAACACCTGGTGTCACTCTCGGAATATAAGCCGTTATTGCACTAATTGTAGTAGCGGCGTCGCTTTTGCTTTTGCCACATATGGGGTCTCTTTTCTGCCACATACTATACGCCATGTTTCTATATGATGCCCAGAGAGCACCCATTTCAGCTATCTTTCTCTCTCACAATATCAACTTAACTCCCTTTAAGGCCATTTCTCACTTCTATTCTTCAGGCCTTCTCTTTACCTATCATAGCTACTTATTATTTTAGATAGCAGCCACCGCCTTGGCTCTATGATGTCCTCGAAAGCATTTTAGACGGAGACTAAGAGGGAGCTTCAGCTTTGAATAGCTGTTTCTATATCAGGAGAGGCCTTTAGGTCCTAGATAGCTCTTCAACTCGTGTAAAACTACAAAGGTTTGAGTTATATTCTCGAGAGTGTCAGATGAGTCAGCCCTTTCAAGTGACGTGAAATCTCCGAAATTACTGTAATTGCTAGTGCATCGCTTATTCTCACGATCTTAACACAATCAATGAGATCATCAGTAATTTTTATCAATATTGCCTCGTTCAACGTCTTAATTGTACGTATCGGCTGTATGATAATATTCATATTTTATTTAATAAGTTTTACATTTTTAAAGTCTATGTTTGATGTGTAAAACACGTACTTTGTTGCCAAGCCTGTCCCAATATTTTGGTCATATCCCAGATTTTTGGTTCCCACTTCGTCGCGCTCAAAGGGTCCGCTAGGCGCTTGGATCCGCTATGTAGTGTTTAGATTTTGAGTTTTGTTCACGTTCCCTCTCTTCACGCTACACCACCACGCCCTCCAACACCCCATTTCGCTTGCGCCTCAACAGCGCCGGCCTTGATAGCCGGCAGCTCCCTACCCCGTCCAGTTGGCCACGCCAGAAAATTGGTTTCAGCGAGGTATCTTAGGAAGCGGCCGACAGCTTCCCTACTAATGCCCTCTCCGGCACTCTCATCGATGCCTGTCCACCGGTCTGCATCAGCCTTAAGGACAGCAACAGCATTGCGATCATCAAGTTCCGGCGCGCGAGTGGTTGTGGGGAGGTTGTTCGTCGCCATGTGGAAAAGAGGCATCAGAGCGCTCTGTTCCTCGTCTTTCTGGACAGAACCTGCCGAGACGAAGGTCTCCAGCTGGGCCTTCCAGTAGTCATAATCCACCTCAGGAACATCGTAGCCGTAGTAGCTCAGGATGGAGAGATACTCGTTCATACGTAGGCGAGGATGGGCTGTGACGTGGATGACGTGGACACCGACGTCGCCGCCGCTGCTGCTGCTGTTGGCACTTTCAGCCGGGATGGGGTTCAAGCTAGCTGCGACGACGACAGTTGAGACGTGACCTACGGGCACGGCGTTGATTGTGTTGATAATGTGCGGCCGGCTAGACAGCTGGATACAGCCCTTGAGCATGCGGATAAGAAAGTCGTCGTTGTTGCAGACACCGGTGGCAGCGTCTCCAAGGATATAGCCAGGTCGGATGACAGATCCGAGGAGGCCGCGTCTGCCAGCCTCGCGGACGAGCTGTTCAGATACCTGTGGTCCATCAGAATGGATGTTATTTATGTAGAAAGAGGTCAGTGGAGGCTACTTACCCATTTTGACTGGCCGTATCCAGTGCCGAGACCTGTGCGACTGCCCATCGTGTCATCTGCTTCCATAATAGCGCCTTGTCCAGTGCTGGTCTGCTCGTGTGACAGGTTAATATAGTAATCCGTGTCTAGAATGCTGGTCGAGCTAATAAATGAGAAAATCTTAGGCTTGCCCTGGTTACAAAGCTGCAGGGCATCGATTGTTGATAGAACATTGGCACGCTCGAGATGCTTATACTGCTTCACCCAGTGGACGAGGGCGCCGTTATGGATAACCACATCGACAGCGTCGCCAAGCATCTTCCATGTGTCGTCATCAAGTCCAAGACGCGGCTGTGTCAGGTCACCAATGACTGCACTGAGCCTAGTGGCCCAAGAATCCTGCCATACGCTGTATCCGCGGAGTGACCTCTGGAGCCGCTCGAGGGCGGCTGGGACGCCCTTCGTTCCACGGACATGGGCGATCACGTGTATGTTCTCACGCTCGAGCAAGCTCCTGACGATGTAAGAGCCCAGGAAGCCCGTGGCGCCAGTCACAAAGACGGTCGTCTTGCCTGCCGGTGAGAGTGCCGCAGGATCCGCCGTTTGATACTTGGCATCGAGGCTACCGAGCAGCTTGTCGAGTGACTGGGCATATGCAGCCTCGCCGTCCTCTGTCGCGCCCGAATCGTCCTTGCCCTCACGCTGGCGGTCAATCTGTGTGCTAAGAGCCCTGAGGGATGAGTTCGAGTATAGTGAGCTGATGGACACGTTGGCCCCCAGGTTCTTGCGGAGGTTGAGAAGAAGCTGCTGGGCCAGCAGACTGTGCCCACCGCTTTCAAAGAAATCGGACTCGGGCTGCAGAGTCTTGGCATTCAGACCATTAATCAGTGTTGCCCACTGCTCCGCCAGTTCCTTTTCTGTTTTACTGAGCGTTTCCCACCTCTTCAGATCCTCCTCTGAAGCCTCTTCCGAGATCAGGGCCGCATCCGGGAATGGCAGGTTTGGGCTGTCAACCTTGCCGTTGGGGTTCAAGGGCATCTTCTCCAGGAAGATGAAATAAGTCGGGACAGCGTGAATTGGCAATCGAGACTTGAGATGATCCCGAACCTCCGTTTGCATTGGCCTGTAGCGCTTAGAATACACGGTGACGGGTCCGATCTCGGTACCTTGTTCCTCAGTGTCTTCCAGGTTGCGTTCTGCTAGCCACTTGAGCCACTCTTGGTGCTCAGGCACAATGTAGCTGACCAGCGTTGGCTCTTCGTTCCGATCTCTTCGAAGCAGCGTCTTGCACTCGCGGATTAAATGGTGTCCTCTCAAGTTGCTATCGATCTCATTGAGCTCGATGCGGAAGCCACGGACTTTGACTTGATCATCAGCTCGGCCTGTAATTGCGCAATTACCAGAATCGTCCAAAAAATATCCTAAGTCGCCGCTCCTGTAGATCCTGTCTCGTGGGCCTTTGTAATACTTTCTCCAGGGCTCGTTGGCGTGATCGGCAAGTTTGTTGTCAGCCTCAACCCACTTCTGGTTGTCGACGAACCAGTTGTCGAGAAACTTTTCCTTGGTTTTCTCCGGGTCATTCAGATATCCGTAAAGTCGAATATTAGCAGGACTATATCAGAAAAAGAAAGGGGATACTTATCTCGGCTAAACCTGCTGCTCTCAACATAATCTCGCCGACCTCACCGACGCCGCAAAGCTTGGTTGGGTCCTCCCGGTTGACCACGAGGAGCTGGACGTTTTCGATGCCTTTTCCCGCGGGAACAATGTCGCCAAATTTATCTAATGCGTTCGGGTCTTCGGCGTGGCTCTTGATGTGGTAGTATGACACGCTGCGGCTCGTCTCAGTGGTACCATATGCAGCGCAGATCTCCGCGTTAGGCGCCAGCTTGCGGAGCGCAGCGCAATCCTTTTTAGTTAGAATATCACCAACGTAGAGAACCCACTTCAATGAAGGGAACTCTGCCTTGGCACCGCCGACCAAGATTTGACCCATAGCGGGCGTCAAATGGACCGCGTTGGGTTTGTGATCGCGGAACCACTCAGCTAACCTTTCATGGGCGATATTCTCGCGAGCAGGGCAAATTAGCTCCCCGCCCATGAAAATCGGGCTGAAAATGTCTCGCTGGATAGGATCATGGCTTATACCACTATAATTGGTTAGCAGAGCTGTGATGGGCATCATCTTTGATAGGTTTTACCTTAGACAAGCGAACTTTGTCTCCGAGGTCCAGTTGAAAGTTTTGGCCATCCACGGGAAGTACTTGGCTAAGCTGTAATGTCTGCCCAACACGCCCCTAGAAAATAGTCAGCTAATGTCCGAACTTTAAGAGTTTCTGGATCTCGTACTTGGGTGTGGATGTCGTGCCACTGGTAAAGCTCAGGACACTTGTTGAGTCCGGACCCACCAGAACATCTGGAGGCGCTGATGCTTTGCTTTCAGTGTCGGTAAAGACTTCTTTCCCATCAACCTCGCCACCGGTAAGGAGGCCATCATCGCTCATCCGTAGCTCGGGTACTCGTAGCTTGAGAGATAGTTCCTCGTCAATGTACTTCTGGACACGCGGCGCCAAATTACCATTCTCGTCCCTGGCTCTTCCAATGGTAATTAGGGCCTTTGGTTGCGAGACTTCAAGGTAGATCTGTTGTCTCGCCGGAGGGTACGCGGGGTCTAGGACAGTAATAGTGGCACCGGCAGCAAGGGTTCCCAAAAAGGCGACGACGAGTTCGACGGAACGGTAGGCAAAGATCATAACGACATCGCCATTGGTGATGCCAGCTTCACGGAGCTGGTTAGCCAAGATGTTGGACGCCTCATAAATCTGCTTGTAGTTGAATCTCCTCTCGGGCGTAGTGGAGGAGGCCGTTTCCGTGACGCATGGCGCATCGGGATTCTTCAGAGCATTCTTGTGGAATATCTCGTGGATGGCGCCGATGTAGCCGCTCCAGTCGAGGTCGATGGTGGGATCGGGAAGTCCCATGGCGGCAGGAATATAGCGAGATCTACACTGAGTAGGAAGGCGCCTCGTAGCGAATATTTCTCTAGAGCATAGTCCAAGCTAATAACTATAATAACTACCTATAAGCTCGAAAATGACGACTTGGAAAATATGTCAAAATGTGTCACCGCAAAAGAATTCTGCCGCACTCCGATCTTCGGGAGGGGCACATTTTTTTCGGTGGAGGGGCACATGTTCCTATTACGGTAGGCGGTCACTAGCAATTCTCATTCTGGGCAAGTTGCATGCACTTGGAGGCTAAAAGATTTATGACTGGGGAATAGAAAGCGACGTAATAGGAGGTAGGTACCTATAGCGGAGGTGGGTGGTTACATACAACTATTCCGATTTTTATAATCGTTTTTTTTACGTACTTCATTGTAATCAGGTTGGCACATTCTATTTTATAGAATGATTCTAAAGTATGGAATGGTTTCGTAGGGAGCAATGGTTTTGCTTAAAGGCCTCTGATTGGTCCAATTTTCGAGATAAGTGGGGCGAAAATTGAAAAAATTGAAAAAATGAAAAGCCTGACTGGGCCTCGAACCCACAGCTCGCGCGTTCGTACATTGTATATAGTACGTACCTTAAAGCCCCACAAGGGAGATTTAAGGTTTAAACGTTTGAGCTAATGGGACGAGGTGGCCAGTCTCATCGAATTATTTCAAAAATTCAATTGATTTTTATCCTTATAAGCTTTACTTTCTAAAAAGTAAAATTTTAACTTAGAAAAAAAATTTTTTTTTTCGACTTTTTTAAAAAGATTTTTTGACTAAGACAATTGGAACGATTACAATTCGAGTAACGATTATACGAAACGGAATGGTTTCACGGTTGCGGAACGGTTTTTGTAAAATAAAAATATAAAAATGAAAATTAGCCCCACTTATATTTGGATCCGACCAATCAGAGGCCTTAAAACCTAAAAACGTTGCTCCCCACGAAACCATTCCGCCGGTAGAACCATTCCGTGAAACCACCCACCTCCGCTATGGTAGGTATTTGTAGGGGGGTGTTCTAGGCTATTAGAATCGGGGACTTGGCGCATAAGCCTACCTGTTTATGGTTTAGTATTACCTAATGATTTAATATTACCTAATAAACAGCGACACACGCCTTTGTCCCGAAGTTCCGCCACCACGCACCCACTCTGCCACTACACAAGGGCAGCATTTTAATCTATAACATCACCTATGTCAGGTTAAGACAATATTGGTATTAATTGTAACAAATATATTGACATAACAGCTGTATACACCAAGCCATTTGAAGACGAGAAAGAAAAAAACGGCACATCTTTCACATGATAGAAAGTAGTAAAACAATATGGCCGAGAAGGAGATCCACAGCAATGACACTTAAGAGTCTGAGCGACAGCTGGGCACATGAATAGTTCATCTCGAACCCATAGGCTTTCAATACATAGCCCATGTTCTATATGTGCACGGGATTTATAATGTTATGTTATGCGTTTGAAACAATAGCGTCGATCGTAAATGTGGAGGCTATCAGAAAGATGTAAGTCAAAGATGTAAGTCAAAGATGTAAGTCGGAAGTACAGTTCATCCCCTGAAATCATGTTAATGGTTCGGACGTGCACGATACAGAACAGGGCTTCGAATTTTAAATAAAACATTTCAACTATTATACCAGGATTTTATAGCATAAAATGCTCCGAAACAACGTTTTTAGAAAACTACAACGACCTCCTAGGGCGGCAATAGATATATGTCGGTAGACTAGGTCTAGACTGGATCGTCTGGTCTAATCTAGTCCAACAAAGACACCATGGAGCAGTATGTAAAACGAACAGTTGTCCAGGATGGCTGTCTGTCGGACAGAAAAATAATACGATAGAATAAAATTTATTACGAAAATAGCTTTTAGTGGTGATGATTAAGAATGTAATAGCCGGAACCGGAAGATATGTCAACAAACCAAGAAACTACGAATAAAGACATAATGACATTGTTAACTACCTCCATTCATAAGATTGATACCTGGGCATATAATGTCTCTTTTGGCCATTATGCCTAATTCAACTTTCATTCGGCAGCATGGAATTTTCCCTACCTATCCGTCAGCGGACACCGAGGGTGCCCACAAATCGATCAGCTACATTGAAGACCTTATTTGACTCGAGTAATAAGTTTCGCTTCGAGGGGCTACTTGGAAAGGGAGGCCAAGGATCCATTTACAAAATCCAATATGTGGAACTCAATAAAGATAATTATTCATCCCGGAGATTGGTGGTCAAAGTAGCGGATCCCTCCAAAGGATCAGATGTCGACGGGCTAGTGAAAGAGAAAATTATTTTAGAGGTACTATTCAATAATTATCAGGGAAATGAACGTACTGACTTTTTTCGGTATCGGAGGTAGACTTTGCGTCATTGTCAACATATTGTAGACATGATAGATAGCCTGGATGATCCCTTGGCTTCTACTAAATCTATCGGCTGGGCATGGATGTTTTTAGAAGAAATAGAGAATGGTACTCTAAATTCTTTTATGCAAAGGGCCAAAGTAGCGGGTTTTACAAGTCTACCTAATCGTATGCTTTGGCGGATATTTCTCTGCAGTAAGTTTTCACACCGTGCTTATTACATCGGCCTGAAAAAAACTATGGAATTAAGCTGATATCTACTTGACAGTGATTCGGGCCTGTATTGACATGGCATGGCCTTCCAACTCACCAGATAGTAATGAGACAACCACACCCTTTCTTGATACCCCAACAGGACTGGCACAGTATGTAAAAGTTTCTCAAACCTCTATTCGCCTTGTTTACTCAGCTTTAGAGTAAATCACTGGCTGTTTTCCTTGTCAATACTCCAATAGCCGAAGCGTAATCTCACCTGGATTTCTAGTAATGATATACATGGCGGCAACTTCATGTTCGGATCACTCGCGGATGGCCCTGAGCATGATGTTTCCCCTATATTAAAACTTTTAGATTTTGGCATTGCCCAGACAATGTGAGTTTATGCCCTGATGGCAAGGACAAAGTCAAAGTTGTAATGAGGTAGCTTACATCCCGCTTTTTTTCAGTCATCCGCGTGAACTTGCTCTAGATGGAACCGGAGAGCAACGGAACATAGAAGATATAGGAATAGTACGTGGTGACCACTTTCAACTGATACTACCGACAATAACTCTTTGGTAGTCCATTCGCTGACTCATGGTCTAATAGATGATGGCTGATGTTTTGACTCTCCAAACCGACTCGAAGTATACAGGAGCAGAAATTGAAGTTGATTTGAGCAGGCTTGGTTATTCTTCTGCCGTATTATCCCCGGCCTCTGGTATACTAGGCGATCCCGAATATGGTGATCCAGACCCGCTACCATACATTGATCGAGACATGCGCCTTATTATCGCGGCATGTATGGCGAGCGACCCCCAAGACCGTCCCAAGATTGTTGACCTTGAACGATGGGTTTATAGCGAGGTTAGTAATACGCAACCCGCATATTATGGTACCAATCCCGGTGGCGCAACATGGGAGAGCAACGAGACAATCTATGATATCGTGCAGAAATGCATATTTAATGCTCTTTAAGGCGTATAGTAAAAATATTTTATCAGGCTGGATATGCCTTCTTATCGTCCTTATTCTTAACGTATATGGAGTATCACAACATACGCCTCATCATATTAGGCACCTTTAAGGGGTGAGGCTAAGAGTTTAGTGCCCCCTCATATACTATATCACCAACAACTAAAGCCTCTATTAATTATCGAGGAGCGTCTCGAAATAACTCAGATTTGACAGGTGAATAATTCGTGCGGAAATCACCGCTGGATGGCTTATTCGAGTACTATTTACCTTCGAGGGCTTTACTCGGCTCTTGATTTGGCTGGTCAAAATTGAGCACACGGGTCCTCTAACCATCGTATATAAACCTGAGACCAAGAACACCGCTCGATGTTAGTCAGATCTTGACGACGCTTTTGGTCGAATATATACCGAACCGCGGATTGGCTTTGGCAGCGGTAGCAGCAGAAGCTCCACTTCATTATTGATATTCCCCCATAAATCCCTATCGTCTGGACACTCTCGACATGAAACCAGAATTTTTCAAGAAAGAAAGCGTTTAAGAAATCGCGGTTCACAATTTCTATCGGTCCGCTGATCTCTATGATACGGGATCTTCTTGACGGGATTTGTGCGCTAACTTTTATTCGGTGGGGTGTCACTCGGGGTCGGTTATTGCCTACTCTAAACTGCCTCGACTCAACCAACCGCATTAGCCTGTCTACTCCTTGATGGTCCCAGAAGACTACTTTTGCAGCTGAAGTACGATGTTGGTCGTTCGGGGGGTTTATGAACATCGAGTAGATTTTTCCTGTTCCTCTAAGAGAGTGGCAAAGCATCGCGGAATCGCAGCTTTCTGGAAGATAAGTTATCCACACAGAACAATTTTGCTCTTCGGCAATTTCTTCTGAGTAATTCCGAATTGAGTCTCGGCAGCCTTGGTAATTAGCCGACCAGGGTTGTGGTTGTTGTGGTAGAGACTGGTCATCGTCAGGAGACGCCATATTTCTTGACCGGATATTTCTGTATTGGACGTTGCATTAGTAAACTAGTTATGTGATACTAGAAACTAGTAAATGTAAATATAGTATAGATCGAGAGTAGAAAAAGCAAGTAGAAAATCTGAACACTCGAGTAGTATACTTATTTTTGATGGCATATGTAATAGGGGTTGGAGAACAATAACTAGTACTTACCAAGGGTTGACTGGGGTGGTGTTGATTTCAAAAAGGTGATCCGGTTTACATACGAAGATGATTGAGATAGTGGAATCTAGAGAAAGAAAATAATGAGACCGTAGAGAAAGGTTTCATTTTATATGTAGAAAAATAAGATCTCTTTGCAGCACGTCGCTATTCGTGATATTAGATATCGACGAAGCAGTTGTAAGTTATATGAGTGAATAGCAGCATCTTGTAATACTAGTTAAATGCCTGTGGTGCCTCTGTATGTGAGCATCATTTTTCAATAGTCGAAATTCTAATACTCAGATTCACTATTATTATGTATACCTACATCCTAGGGATTAAGAAACCAAGGAGACATTCACATATCTAAGCTTAGGTACCTCTTAATAGGTAGTAAATAACCTACTCGAATATCAAACCGGTATACATCCAAAGGCGGCTATCATTAAAAGCCTACAATCGTTTCTTTAAGACATTATGTGCGGACCTTCCAAGTAGGTAAACCTGTTGCATTCCCGAGTGTCCTTCTACCCACCTAATATATATATTATCGTCGGTAACATGGGATGATAAGCGCAATATAAATTAGGTTAGGTACCTACGTGCTTCGCTGTGTACTGTGAACTGTGTCACTAGCCCTAGTCACTTAATTATTCACAGGCACAAAGATGTTAGTATGCCTCGGCCTATGGTCTATTTAAGTCAACAATCCGAATGGAGGCATGGAATCAGCATGTCACATGTGATAAGAAGTCATGCAATCAATTTGATTGTTTAAATGATACAACTCCCGATATTTCAATTCCAAAATATGATTCACTAGTAGTCAATAGGAGCCTGCATCAGATCGATGCTAATAAATAAATATATCGTGACTCGTGAGTTACTACTTTCTTACACCTGTTTGTATGACGGGTGACGGGTAAAAGTGGCCAGTGCACCGATGGTTGAAGTGTATTTAACTGGAAGTTGGCGAGGCCGATTTTGCATCTTCCTCTCGGCATCCATGAAACCTCCCCTAGCATCCCTTGTCTTAGTACGGTTAAGCCACACATACCCCCCTGCCACTATGTGAGGGCCTCAAGCAAACGTATTTTGCACAGCCCCCATCCGTGTAGCACAAGACAATATATTATCAGGCTTTGGATACCTTCAAACTCCTCACCTCCCTTGCCTTCGATACACAGATTATCACCATGTCTCCCCCTCATACTCTCCGTCAATATACGACAGAGCCAGCCGTTCTTTTCAAGCTTCCCGACGAAAAGCTTCTTAAGCTTGTTCGCGATGAATTTGAAGATGAGCTCTGCCGGTTGAAAAGTGCTTACTCCGTCGGCGGTAGAAGGGAAGTCAACCTATTGTCGAAATCTCCTTCTGCGATCTTATACGGAAAAGACTACGATGAAGTCAACCGTACGCTTATTGGAGTGTTAACCTTGAAATGGATTTATAATGGAGAATACGACACCCTTGTTGCAAATCAAGCTGAAGCTCTTAAACTTTCTCGCCAATCATTCGAATGGATTCATAACTTCTATGCTGATTCAATTGCAAATCCGAATGAGTTATACGCTCTCATTACTTCCATTGTGGTGAATGATATAGGAAAGGATGAACAGCTCGCCTCCGATTACCAAAAGAAAACCGGAGATAACATCGCCTTTATGAATCATGATATGATCCTCCTCAAGGCGGTTGAAGCTGGCATGTTGGGTTGTTTAGATCGTCTTTCCGAAGAAGACAAGGCTGATATTATTCGCGGTATGGAATTGGGTGCCGAATTTAACTTTGGACAGCTTGCCCAGGCGGAAAACACACCAGCTTGCCTGATTAGTCTTGAGAAGATGAAGGGCCACGCCCGTAGCTTTCGACTCCGATTTCAGGAGCAGCTGCTCGATATTGCGGGCGCAGCAGGCCACCTAGATTGGACTTGCGCAAAGAAACTAACCCAATCCAATTTCGATGCTTACCATACCGTATACGACGTTGGAATGGGGATAATCGAAGGTGGTCTAAGTCTACGCGCGGGATACGATATGGTTTTAGCGCGTCGGCTAAACCTGCTTCATGAGAAGGGCTTTCGGCTGCTTGATCTCAGTGTTGAAGATGATCGTGCTTTCGCTAGGCTCTTATGTATGAGCAGCGTTGCTGATCTGGCGACTGCTGAATTATACAGCCAAGTGTGGTCGTCCCTTGAGGACCAGGTCAGGGAAACTTTGCGAAAGCATCTCAACATCGACGGCTCTATATCTCAGCCAGCAGTTCAAGTCACATATATACCGGCACTTATCACCCAAGCGGTTGATATTAATAGCCCTTCGACCCCTGAGGATAAGCGACGAGCGTTACGAAGTGCGCTCCACTACCTATGCAGAGTTATGTCTGCTCCTGATAAGCCTAATGGCCCGGTGAGTGTCATCGAACGGAATGTACTATCTATCTTAAAAGGGGTCGTTCAAAGTCCACAATTCCGTGAGGATCCTACCATCTTAGAAACTGCCCCCATACCTGAAAGCCTCGTAGGCTTGATGGAAGTACACGGGCAAAAGTGAGGATGGAGTGTTACTGATTGGATGATTTACGCGAAACAGTTGAATTTACGGCGTTATTTGGCTTGGGGCGATGTAGATATGGAGGTGACGATATCGCTACGAAGTAACGTATTGATTACACTTTATGCTATTATGACTCTCACGGGTTGAATATAATTTCTTCGATCATCTAGGATAACTTGCCACGAAACTTGAATATGACTGAGTTTATTCTCTAGTGTCGACTGTAGCAGTGGTAGTAAAGTCTAACAAACAAGATGAATTCACGGATACCGAATTGGATTAGCCAGCTAAACAAATGATGACAGTAAGATGGTGGCATAGCAACTCCGTATACTCAAATATATGGGTAAAAACTAAGAAGAGTAAAAGAGACGAAGGTTTCATCTTTATTTACATATTAAGGAATGAGGTTAAGAGGTATGCACCGTCCTACGATTAACCCCGATTTCCGTCTTCCTTACAGTTAGATATGCTTGGTTAGGTACCTTAGGTATTACTTGCACCATCCTATAGTTCAATAGGACCAAGAAACCGAATCAAGTGATATGATTGTGGAATGGCGTGTCATGCGTTGCCACCGAAGCCTAATTTGATTAATCGTTTTTCTAATACATGATATTATTGTTGACGTGGACTGCAGAGCCTCGAACCACTTGGACGTCCTTGGACATGAAATCCAATTTCCCCGCGTTCCCGAAAGCCTGATGTCAATTCACTCGTTCCAATTCGCTATCATCCCCAACATTTATGGCGCCATTTGTTGTAGAAAATTGGTAAAGGCAGCGAATAACGAATCTCTATTCGGCGTGTGTATTGTTTTACCTTGGATCTCGAATTGCATAGGAGGTAGCTTGCAGTGTTGGCATTTGACACCAGCGAATAATTGGTAGTATCAAGTATAATAGGCGCTTAAGTGAATGGGTTGTGAGGCTGTTGTCGTATTATAGCTATCACGAGGTGGGTCGAGAAGAAACGGAAACATCTGCGTACATATGCACCTAATGGAACGAAATCTTATAGGTTCGAGAATAGAAATTATGGTTTTTAGAAAGTTTTAGCCATGGTAGGCTTCGTGTAAGATCTTGCATGCCCCGACAGCACCATCTCATACCTCTTAATTTTCATACTAGTTTAGTGACCACAGATATAAATGTAAAGTTACATATTCTGCTTTGATACCTTAAATTTAGATTACTCTAAATTTGAAACATCGAGTAATCTCTCCCACCATCTCATCTACCATCACTTTGTTCTCGTCTCAACTAATGGTCTACTGGGGGCCAAGACGAGCAACATGCGCGTCGTGAATGCGAACAACAACGGGCAGCTATTGCGACCTGCCTTGGGGGAGCAAGTTCCTTTTGGAACGCTCTACGATGCCAGAACCGACCAATTTCTCTCTCAGTCCTTACTGAGGGAAGGTGGCGAAATATTCAAGGCGTCATCTGCGATTCCCACGAATCAACTACCCGAAGTCAACGTCATCTTCCATGGTTCCTATCAGGCCAAGTTCAATCTCCTGAACATTGGCGCCGACCTAGGTGCGAGTATTCTTGCTAAGCTCATAAAGCCGAAAGGAGCTAGCATGTATCTCGATGTCCCACAGCAGAGAGATGATATACTGCACGCCGCTATTCATCACAAAGTTATCTCAGCACGGGAAAAGTTCAATGTAGTGCACCTTCGGAATCAAGCAGCCATAGACTGGGAGGCCTTAACGGACTTAGACGCTACACATTTCGTCGTCGGAATCGAGTGGGGTATCCAAAGCATTGTTTCAGTACAACATGCAGTTAGCAGCTCTGCAGACCACACAGTAGTGGAGGCTCAATTTCGAACCAAGATTTCCAATTTCAAATCAGCCATTGAATCAGATACACCCATAGCACAGGATAGCTTCACCCATGGCCCAACAGATAAAGATATGCCACTGGAAATCACAACATACAGTGACGTATCAGCTGAATGTGGTGTCATGGTGGAAACTTTAGAGAAGGCACGCTCTGAACTGAGCCTTATTCCTATGCGCATTGAAAAGGAATATTCCAATAGGGGGCGACCGATTACGTACACGCTACTTCCAATTAGCTTTCTCGGAATGATCGCGGAGTCTGAAGAACGTTTTGGGGCAGCCATGACTCCTATCAGCTTGGAAACTGAGAATCTTTTAGTTCACCTATTCGACGACTTTTCTCAGTCTTATCAGAAACTCCACAAGAACTATGAATATATTTCACAGCATCCGAAGTACTCTTCCGAACGCCTTCGGAAGGAAGTAGAATCGAAGGTATCCAATCTAAAATGCGCGTTCCAGAGCTTTGAGCAAGCGTACTCGGAGGCTCTCGTGAGTGTACGGAGTGGGAAGGATAAGGAGAGTCTTCTCCGGGATCTCTATGCCGCCTACACCAGCAATGAAACATCACCCGTTACTCTAGCCAACACAACTGACCGACACGTTGCTAAAATCAAATTTATACTTGAAGCTACTCGTATGGGTGCGACCTACACCAACACTGAAGACCCAATCATCGATTTAATCGGCAATAAGGACGCCTATGTATTCTCGTTTACCGATACGGCTCTGAACGATAGCAAGTCTTGGAATAAAAATGCGACCATATTCCAAGATTTACTGGGTCATCAAAGCCCCGATACCCTGTATATCATATCCGACGATGACGCAGTAGGAAATGTTTCACCTTATGCGTATATCTCCTTCTACGAGAAAGGGGACTTGGTCTCCGGTGATGTTCTTGAGGAACAGACTTGGCTCGTAAAGCAGTGCTTTGTTCAGTATGCGACAAACACCCTCGAGGACCGAGATATCAAGAGACCACTGAAGAGGCGACTGGTTACTATGCCTTGTCCCAGCCAAAGCTGCAGTCGAAGCCGCATCTGTGAATGGAAATGTTTTAACTGCCGTACCCCTGTTGAGTTCGGGTTTACCGATAAGTACATATACTGTGATTGCGGACGCAGTTCGTATGAAAACTTCAGCTTCAGGTGTGATCACCCAAGTCATGGTGGATCATTCGAAAAGTGCAATCCCCAGCACGTTTTATCGCAACTGAAGAACCTGGGAGACTCGGAAAATATAAACATTCTGATTCTAGGCGAGACTGGTGTGGGGAAATCGACATTCATCAACGCCTTTGTCAATTACTTGACGTTCAAGACACTGGACGAAGCCAAAGCAGAAGAGGGACTCCATTGGGTTATACCATGTTCATTCTCCACACAGATCATGGACAGAAACCGACCAGACGGAGCTATTGAGCAGATCAAAATACAGGTCGGTGCGAGGGATGATGAACACGACGGCAGCAAGGGAGCGTCAGCTACACAGCGAACCACCGTTTATCCTATCACTATTGGCAAGCGTACAATCAGACTGATTGACACACCCGGTATTGGGGATACGCGGGGGATTCAATACGACAAGAAAAACATGGCTGATATACTGTCAACTTTAAGTAGTTATGATCACTTGCACGGCATACTCATACTGGTAAAGTCGAACAATGCGAGATTAACCGTTACCTTCAACTTTTGCATGAAAGAATTGTTAACGCATCTCCACCGTTCGGCGGCAAGCAACATGGCTTTTGGCTTCACCAACACGCGAATCTCGAACTACACTCCCGGTGATACATTTGGGCCGTTAAGCACTCTTATACAAAATCACTCCGATATTGGCCTGTCTTTGACAACTCATACGACCTATTGCTTCGACTCGGAGAGCTTCCGTTATCTTGCTGCATTCAAGAACGGGACTGTGATGGAGAACGAGGAGGACTTCCGACGCAGTTGGGAACATTCGAGGACGGAGTCACTGCGTCTCATTGACTATTTCAAGTCCAAGACCCCCCATAAAGTTCAAAGTACCATAAGCCTTAACGGAGCAAGGCAACTGATAGCAAGCTTGACCAAGCCAATGGCCGAGATGTCAGCGCTCATCAAGGCTAACATTTCTATGTTGGTAGATAAGATTAAAGAATGTTGGTAGTATTTATTTATTTCCATATTGAAATTCCATCTCTCGTTTAAGATAACCTACTATGCTTGGAATATACATAAACTACGGGACGTTTTAATTGAAGCGTTTGCTGACCCGAACTTCCATAGTGACGGATAGCCGTATCACGGGAGAAAAGCTTAGAGAGCGGCTTTATATAGAGAAGAAACATCTACGTTCCAAACCGCTCGATATGCCACGGACCGTCTGTAAGGAAAAGGACTGCATTGAGCTCAGGGACGATGGTGGAGGCGTTATTGCCACTGTATACAAGACACACTGCCATTCTATCTGCTTTCTCGACGACGTTGAGGTTGATCAAGTAGCTCATCCTAGTCTCATCGGATGTGCTGCGTTTGCTGGCAGTAATTACTGCCGGAAATGTACCCATCATTGGCAATCGCACCTCCACGTCAGATTTGAACTGGAGGAATACATGGCCACAGTGACGGATACCGAAGTCGAACGACAGATCCAAGCAAACGCTGACGACGTAACTCTAAGAGAAAGGGTAATCGAAAACCTGAATAATCTCATCGCCGAATATAAAGAGGAGCATGCGAAACTTCAGAATGCATCCGCGAGGTTCGGTGTTTTCCTCAAGAAGTACTCCATCACCCCCTACAACGATGCGACGCTTGAGTATCTGGACATGCTTATCAAAGACGAAGAGATGAAGGTCCAGGTTGGCGGAAATAGAAAACGCCTGGACGACCTGTTGGAAGATCGCCGAATGCATGAGGAGCTCGTGGACATTCTAACGCGCAATATGGACAACAAGTACCAGTTGCAATACCAAGTCCTCAACGAAGCTGGTGTGGAGAACCTCGTTTCTCAGTTGTATGGTTTAAAGCATTTCGGCGCAAACCTCAAGACGGTCAGAAATGACATCTCAACAGCGCACGAAGCCGCGAACCGAGAACGCCCGTTCCGGGTAAATCGGGGATGGGCATCTAAGACGCCTAGACGTGCTGGTAGGGCTACCAGGGACCCCCACGATACGGCTACAACCCCGCAGGCATCAAAATCGCCACTAAAAACTCAAGGCAAGACCAAATCGCAAGTCAGAAAGTTCTTCGGAGGCTTTCCGGCGAGGGTATTATCAATGGTCTCTTTTAATAATAAGTCGGATGTTGAGACTTAGGTACCTCTTAAGAGCCGCGTAGGGGTTTGGAAATAGGAGCTTTGGTTTATTTTCCCTATCTTATGATTATGTTGAGAGGTATTGATTGATAGCAAAGGTTGAAGCTATCGTGAGAGATTGTAGATCCAATGCCTACCTCCTATGCACAACGTCCAAGATCATGTCAGATTGACCACACTACCAAGAGCTATCTTGAACTGCCAAAGATGTTAACTATTACTTGTACGAAGGTCCGGGCCAAAAGTCTTGGACATCTGGTCTTGGTAAACAACGTGTGAGTGAAAAGGAACCGCACGGTATTACTTAAGCTGTAGTGGCTAATGCCGCTATAAATACAGTGGTAAGCCACCTAAACTTAGCGTACGAGCCACTATCCAAATTTTAGCTTAGCAGGTAGCTGATACAGTATTAATAAAAAAGGATGACTTTCGAATACGGTGCTAGGGACCTTCACATGTAAATATCTCCTAATAATACATAGAGTCGAGTTCGAAGCCCCACCATGGTCTCTTTCTAATAACTCCAATAATCTGTGTTATACTCCCCCCCGCCCCCTTTTTTTCGCACAATGGCAGAAGTAGCAAAAGCTGACGTCCAAAAAGCCGTTCTCTCTCCACCGGATTGGCTTAGAATTTGGAGAAAGCATTTCTACGGTCAACGTTGGGGTTTTGTTGCTTTCCGCGCCGCCTGCTTTGGCGGCGATAATGACAACGATCGCTGGACTGAGTTTCAGAAGCAGTTCAAACGGATTGTCGAGTTACCTTTCACGCGTGCTATTACCCAGGCGCAAGAAGAAGGGGTTTTGCTCCCGGACGATTTCAACGAGGCCAGAGCAAAGTTTGAGATTCAATGGGTAGAAGAAGTTCCCCTAGATGGTGGGACTCTTACCACAGTTGCTAGTGCAGATTCACTCCGAGCGAAGTATGCCGCTCTGAGGCCTAGCCTAGACCCTGGGCTGTGTTGGGACGTTTTCTTCTGCGCGTCTCCTGAAGCAGTCGAGTCTTTCGAGAATGAAGCGTCAACGACCGATGAGACGAGTAGTTTTTGGAGAGCCCGGGCGCCGTTCCTCTTAGCAGTTTCGGCTCACAGTGAGTCTGGGCTAGAGGAAGATCATGAAGAGACCGCATGGTTCAAGCCGGTTTTTAAGATTGCAGCTGAGGTATTGGTAGAGTCACTATTCACCGTCCTTGATATGGGGACACCGCTACGACGTATTACGCGGAGTGTTCTTCAGGCGACCGAACTTGATCAGTCGGCCGAACAACGTCAGAAAGAGCCAATTGAGGAGACTGGGAACTTAGATGAGATCTGGTGGTCGATGCATCCTTCACCTGCACGACTAAGGATGAGGCGGAACATTGGGCCAATACAATAACCATGTTCCGAATAACTCGGCAAGGTCTTCAATGATAGCTTTTATTACCCTGTTCCTAGGTGTCCATAAGGTCATAATTATTAACATCAAGAGTTGATCGCCGCAAGATTATTAGAAGGCGTTAGGAGGTTATCTCGGACAACTCAACTGCTGTGTTGCTTATACACGCTGCCAATCTAGTTACGAACGTTTCGTAATAAAGAAGGCGTGCTAAAAGCGAGTAGCTGTGATCAAGGACTTATATTACCATGACCCTAGATGCCAAAAAGGTAACGAGATCTACCTAAAGAAGCAGTCGAGGCGATTCCTTGATTACGTGAACGCCTCTTAATCGCATTAGTTTCAACTAAATCATGGTTTCTCCGAAAGAAGACCGAAGTGGGTAGAGGCAAGGGAATATATAGTATAAGTGGCTGCGTAGGTAGTCCAGGTATCGTCTCCTTTTCTTGGAAGTGCAGGTGGTAGGTAACCCCGCCATCATCCCTTTATAGTAGGAAGAGGGCTGTTGCTGATAATAGGGATATCTCCTTTCTCGGGATGTTTTCGACTTGAGGCCTAGTCAAAAGTTGAAGCAAGCTCCTTGAATAAACCCGGCACGAGTCGAGTAGAAGTAGGAGTTGCTCAGGTAGGTAATTGATCGATATTATAATTCATATACAGATACAATCATACGATCAGATTATACTACGGTCGATCTATAGCGAAGTCGGGGGATGAATTTCCTATATCGCTTGCCAGGATTTCCCTCATCATCTGTGTCCAAGTCATCTTTCACGCCGTTATCAAACATAGGAGATTATGAGTCACAACTAGAATCGTGTGCATATAGATACGAAGCAATCAATATGTGCACCCACTCATTGTTGATGTAGGGAGTGAATTCCATGCCTCGTCATCTGGGGTGACATCCATGTTTTGAAAATATTCGGTTAAATGATTTTGCATGCCTCTTATTTAAAACAAGTACCTGATGTTAAGGCTGTAAGATTTATTCATACTTAGTAAGAGATATATATCGTCGTAATGCTGCATGCGGTGTTATCTCCGTTATTGGGTTATCCCGGTTAGAAGCTACGGTACCAATAAGTTTCAAATAGGATTCTATGCAGGTCTTCATGTATGGTAATCTTTCCACCAACTCTCTTGTTCAAAGGATTTCCCCGTCTTTAGGGATCCATGGTCGTCTAAAAGTTGGTACTGCCTTAATTGGAAATCCGAGGATTACTATTCACGACTGAATATATCGTGCACAATAGATACTAAAACCACTTTTTAAGCATGCTCGCGGCGCAAGTCTTCCAAGCGGACGACTGGGTGCACAGGAAAGGGAACGGGAAAGTCAAATCGCATAATAATATATTCAGATTTATAATTTAAACCTGACCTTTATTCTTCGAGATGATATTAGTATAGCAAGTACCTATCATATTTAAGACGTGAGTAGTACCTACACGAAGAACCTGTTAAACTTCAGATATGAGATTTCAATATAAGTCCCTATCTCTGTAGGGGAGTAAGGTTACAACTGACATTAGTTAGATATTTAGGTTATATCATATTCATGCTGTATATTTGCTAAGAGATCCTCTAGAACCCGAACATGTCTTGGAAATGTTAACTATATCGGTGGATATCTATGAAATGTTAAGATGGTAGTAGTTTAGTTACAAGTTACTAAGTTCTCTGATTATCAATATGTTATGCATCATACGAAACGAGAGTTGCATCGCATTCCCCGCGCATCGTACCGAATATGAAGATGACTTTATCCTAAATGACAAAACCACAACCACTTCAATCGTACCACTGATGATGCATTATAAGTTTGGATACCTACCTCAACTTGCATGCATCGAATAAGGTTGATGATATGAAGAAAGATACTACCTATATAGTATTCTCTAGGGAAAGGAAAGAAACTGCGTTGCAAACGCTCCGTTGAAGAATGCAGTATGCGACGTGCGGCGGGCATCATGCTGAACTACGGGGTAAGTTCCGATTGGTAACTCGTAACTCCCATCCAATAAAACATATGTTGATCTACCTAACCGCCTCTGTTACTCCTTCGTGTGAGTCGCATTCGGGGAGCGAGTTCATGTTACGGACTACCTATGTCTACCATCCGTATTCTGTTACCCCCACGCCGGTTATCACGTCGTGTATGGATCGGCAATACAAACGATGGCCTACATCCTTACACATGTTCTCCAAGTGTACTTTGCTTTGTATAGTTATCATTATGGTAGATTGCCGTTGTATGACCCCTAATCCAGCTGCCGTACCTTTCGTCATCGACGACTGCATTCTGTACATTCATCAGATAGCGCGGTCGTAACTCGGACTAATTAAGCTCGTTAAAATACTATAGGATAAGTTGAAGTATTAGGCGGCTGTATGAGGACTTATATTAGGGCTGAGAGACGTAGCAAAATGATTTCCAAGGTGATCAATCACACTGCCTTATTCTGTAACCTTCCTCCCAACTCGAATACTTTAAACAGCAGTCTACAAGAACTATATTTGCATGTGCTACTCGACACAATGCGTCCTCCGGTAACACAGCAGACGGCCGCAGCCGATGCATCTCGATCCAGTAGTTTAATAGCTGGTAAGTGAGTTGTTGCTTGGATGGATGTTCAAAATACTACACAATAGGGTATCAGTTTATACCCGGGGGAGATAAAATGAGGGTTGTACAAAGACGTCTCCTAACCTGTGAGGCGAAAGAAGTTGTGCTATTAGCCAGCGACCGTATTGTTTCCCCCATTAGTAACTTGGTTTCCAGCTAGTTTTCCTATTACTAAAAGAAATTGCAGCAAATCATGCAAATCATACCGCATCCACGAAGCAACATGACATTGTAGCCACCCCTCCTCGTGTCCGGGTATCACTCGGAACTAGGCTATGGTCGCGTCTACGTACGTACGTAGCCACGGTGGTCGATGAAACCGTCCAGAGCCGCGTTGACGCACGGTTCGAGAAACATGAAGGGTGGCTTGCCGCACGTCTTGACAATATACTTGAAAACCGGAACAAGGCCGATCATCGTAACAGGCGAGACATATACGAGGCTGCATGGCGCGACGCAGCAAGCTCGAGTGCGCGGTTTGTCAACGAGAACTTCCCCGATGCGATGCCTTACTACGATAAATACGAAACTTTACGACATGGTCTCGATGAGGCCCCGAAAGAAGGCATGGCTCTTGAATTCGGGGTGTACCAAGGCTCCACTCTCCGGAAAATTGCGGCCAGTCGGTCTGGCGGAGTCTACGGGTTCGACTCTTTTGAAGGTCTTCCGGAGGCTTGGCGTTGGGTGATCCGCCCCGGGGCCTTCGCCGTGGAAGCCCCACCTGAGGTACCCGGCGCCGAATTAGTGGTCGGATGGTTTGACAAGACATTAGCGCCCTTCCTTGCTGAGCATCCCGGACCCATCGCCCTGCTCCACATCGACAGCGACCTGTACTCCTCAGCAGTGACCGTATTAGAGCACTGCGGACCACGTCTAGTGGCCGGGTCAATTGTAATATTCGACGAGTATTTTAACTTCCCCGGCTGGGAACACGACGAACATCGTGCGTGGCAGGAATATGTCAATCGTACCGGGACGCGCTTCAGTTGGCTTGCTTATACTGCCGACAACGAGCAGGTAGTGGTCCGGATCGATGACCCGGGAACCAAGCCCTGATATTCGAGGTTGAAGGAAAGAATTTGGCCTGTTTAACACTTATAGAAACGATGCTGTTTAACGAGGAATGAAATAACGGATATAACCTTCAGTTGAGAATAGGAGTTGATGCCCGAATTATACGCGGGATTGGGAAGCCAGCTTAAGATGGAGTACCTGATACATACCTAAACTAAAGTCTAAATATATTGATTCGAGACTTAACTAGTAATATACGCACCAGTCTATCTCAATCTTAAGTAAATTTGCATATCATTTGGTTGAAATGTAATGGCCTTGCGCGACTCGATTGGTCAATGGTTATCCATCCGAGCTCTCGTGCGTACAGTTAAAAATTTCCCTATTGTAGCGAGCCAGGATACCAGGTGATAATTCATAACATTAATACTTATTAATGCATTGCTCCGTTAGATTCACCAGTGTGATTCGCGGATGACGCAATTAATTATTAGGCCAATTACTTTATTAATCAACTCCTACACGTACCCTGCGGATTAGAGGCTTGAGCGCAGGCAGCAATGAGATAAGCAATCATCGCGATGAGAGATCTTGTATAGAATCTACGGCGCTCGTTTCTCAATAATAATACCTCCGGGTAGTAATAAGTGTATATTACAGCTCTATGATAGTTTCACATTATATATTTCTGTATACTGTTACTACGTTGACTTGTGAGGTACGCATATAGTTCCTAGACCTCCGTATGTGAGACCCCTATCTTATACGCCAGCTTCGCATCGATAATACCGTTTTAAGGCACCGCGCGTCAGGAGCTTGCTTCTACTGCTTCCCCTCTACCACAAACCCGCAAAGGTCATAGTAAAATAGTCAAACATCAGATCAAATTTCAATCATTCACTAAATGTGATAGAATACAACTGTAATCAAACGGAAACCAGAGTGCGGGGTGCTCACCATCTGAACTACAACGTATTTCTGGTATATAACTGTGCAAGTCTTTGTTTCTAACACTCATCATCACCTTCATCCACGAAATGCACTCACGCTGAACCGATATGGCTACTATCCACACCCTTAAAGGGGCCCTTAGACAGAGAGCGGCAGAAATGGCTTCATGTCCGACACAGCCGTTATCTGATGCGCAGTACGGTGCTGGCTTCGATATTATAATACAAGGCTTGGGGTGGACGATATACCGAGACTTTATTATTCCTCAATTGTCTCAGCTACTAACACCACTCTTTAACTCGCGTGCTAACATTTCAGTCTTAGAAATCGGGCCCGGGCCGAAGAGTATACTTGGATATTTACCTAGCCTTATGAGGCAGAAGGTAAAAAAATACGATGCTTTTGAGCCTAACAACTTGTTCGCCGCCAGATTGGAAGAATGGTTTAATTCTCCCGCGAAGACAGACTCCCCGTTGCCAAACCTCGGAGGCTTGCCTAATATCCATAAAGTCCCATTCGTTCTAGATGATCGCATTGGGCGGCTTGCCAGAACGGATGCGGACGATGATAACAAATACGACGTCGTGCTTTTTTGTCATAGCATGTACGGCATGAAGCCTCACCATAAGTTCATTGAACAGGGGCTGAGATTGCTAGATAAGCAGCAAGAAGGAGCAATGGTAGTAGTTTTCCACCATGACGAGACCCTCGACCTCGCTGGCTTGGTATGCCATCGGACGGCTTCTTACCCCGCTGGGGTCATCAGCGTGGCCGACGATGACGAAACAGTAGACCTTTTCGCTGCTTTCGTCGTGGGGTATGTTATTCAAGATGTGGATACGGCTGTCAAAGCCGAGTGGCGTAAGGTGTGTCGTATGTTAGGTCGTCGCGACGAAGCCCACGCAGGATATCTCTTGTTCAGCTCGCCCGACGTTATGGTGGCCTTCAACCGACATGGGACATCTTTAGCAGAATTGACAGCGCATGTGCCATTAGTGAAGGGGGATAGGATAGTTAAGAACCGAGAGGCTAACTTCCACCGTCCCGCTTCAATTATGCGGCCGACAGAGATCCGACACGTTCAACACTGCGTTCAATGGGCGTTGAAGCACACAGTAGGCCTGACCGTTCTTAGCGGGGGTCATAGTGGCCACTGTCTCCAGTTTGGTGTAGTCTCGGTGGACATGACTGCCTTTAACAAAATTCACATTCACACGACTGGGGAGACTAAGGAGGGCGAGGAATCTGGTTTAAGTTCTTTCGTCGTCGCCGAAGCGGGCTGTAAGACGGGGGATATTATCAATAAGACCATGGAGGCGGGCTTAACAGTGCCCTTAGGGGCCCGCCCAAGCGTAGGCGCCGGGCTGTGGTTACAAGGCGGCATCGGGCACCTAGCTAGGTTACATGGGCTCGCGTGTGACGCTATCATCGGTGCCGTAGTGGTCAGCGTCGATTCCGGCCAAGTACTCTACGTTGGCCATGTGCCAAGCCAATACCGGCCAGCCGACGCCGTACGCCCGCAAAACGAGGCCGATTTGCTATGGGCAATAAAAGGCGCGGGCACCAACTTCGGCATCGTGATCAGCGTGATCTTCAGGGCCCACGCAGCTCCAACCTATTGGACTAGAAACTGGGTTTTCCCCCTGAAAGATAATATTGAGGCGCGACGAAAACTTAGCAATTTTGATAAGCTCGTCGCTAGAGATCTTCCTCGGAACTTTTCGGCTGACGCATATCTGTACTGGGATGCTAACCAACTGCATCTTGGTGTAACTATGTTCGAATCTTCGACTACTATGGTTACCTTAGAAACGCTTACACCCACGCTCAAGTCGATTAGGGAAATACTAGGACCGGAGGATAATTTGAAGAAAGTAGACGGCGTTGGTTTATTCGAGACGGAGATGTATATGTCCGGGATGCATGGTGGGCACGGCGGCGGCAAGACCTCCTCGTTCAAGCGATGCTTATTCTTAAATGATATCGGGGAAGCGAACATTTTTGACATCTTGGTAATGGCTATTGAAACTCGTCCATCCCCACTTTGCTATCTCCATCTGCTACATGGTGGTAAAGCTGTGAGCGACATTAAGAGCGATGCCACCGCTTTCGGCTGCCGAGACTGGGACTTTGCCTGTGTGATAACTGGAGTCTGGCCGCGTGATAAAGATGGGACGGAAACAGCCCGCGCTGCCGTGCGGTGGGTTTACAACGTCGCCAACAACCTGTTGCCTTTGAGTAGTGGAGCTTACGGTGCTGACCTCGGACCGGACCCCCGGGACGCCGCCCTTGCTACAAAGGCGTTTGGACCGAACCGGTCGCGCCTAGCCCACCTGAAGCGAAAATTAGATCCGTATAATATACTAGCTTACGCCTGTCCGCTGCGGAAAGCACCGAGGGAACCTCGACTTATCATCCTTGTAACAGGCGAAAGCTGTGCTGGCAAAGACTATTGCGCTGACATCTGGGTCTCCGAACTCAACGACAAAGGCTTAGCAGCATGTGCAGTCAGTATCAGCGATGCGACCAAGCGAGAATACGCCGCGGCGAGTGGCGCTGACCTAAACCGCCTACTTCTAGATCGTGCTTACAAGGAGCAGCACAGGCCAGCATTGACAGCGTTTTGGAAAGACCAGGCACGGCGACGGCCTCGGCTACCAGGGGAACATTTTTTAAACGTAGTACACGGCGCTGAAGAAATTGATGTACTGCTAATCACTGGGATGAGGGATGAAGCGCCTGTTGCGACCTTGTCATATTTGGTGCCACACAGCAGGTTACTCGAGGTTCGTGTCCAAGCCAGCGAAGAGATGCGGCGGGCTCGCGGAGGGAGTCAAGGCGCTGGACCTGGTGGTGGTGAAAAGACTAGCAATTACCGTCCTAACTTCATCTTCAACAATAACATGGCTGGAGATGAGATAATCAAAAATTTTGTAGAACGGACCCTGCTTCCGTTTTTTCATGAAGACCTACAGCGTCTAGCCAATATGGTGCGCCCGGTACCTGACTTTCCACGCCGAGGTATCAAGTTCCGTCATGTGCTAGATATCTCGCAGCAGCCCGGTGGCCTGACCTTATGCACATCTCTGCTTCAAACTCACTTCACTGGCGATTGGGCTAATGTTTCTGCGATGGTGAGTTGCGAGGCTGGCGGCTTTATCTTCGCGTCGGCGTTGGCTACGCAGGTCGACGTACCCTTGGCGCTAATCCGCGAAGCCGGGAAGCTTCCCCCGCCTACCATTTCCATTGCCAAGTCCACATCGCATATTTCGTCTTCAACATCCAACAATACGGGCGAGAAGAGGATCGAAATGGAGCGGGACGCGATCCCCAGGGGCGTGTCAGTAGTAGTAATAGACGACGTACTTGCCACGGGGGAAACGCTTTGCGGGACATTACAGTTATTGAACGAAGCTGGTATTAAAGCCGAGAATATCAGCATCATGGTTGTGGCCGAGTTCCCTGCTCATCGTGGCCGGGAAGTGTTACGCCAGCGTGGGTTTGGAACAGTCAATATTCAAAGTCTTCTAGTTTATGATGGTGCGTAAGAGGGGGGCGAGGAATCGATAGAACAAACCATGACATGGAAGTGATCAGTAGTGCGCTATTCCCTCGCTGATGTATCTCTAAATCTTGAAATATGTACGAACATCTCTTAGTAGGTGTCTATTTATGGCGAACGTTAAGCTATCATCGGATTGAATAGAAGCTACACCCAGCTGGTAAACGCGGGCCTCTACATAATGTCTGGGGGGAAACGCTGGGGGGCTTAAATACCGCTACGTCTTAGCGGTCACCATTCTTCTCGCCATCCTTGTGCACACCCATTTACTTTATGATACGGCCAATTTTCTTCGCCAAGAAAGGCGCCCAAGATCTTGCATTTAAAGTAACACGATATTATATGAGCTAGAAGAAAGAAGCAAATCGTGAGAGCATCATGAAGCCCTGCCTTAGGTACCTCCTAACATGTACTGTAAGTCAACAGACTTATTGGCATGAGAGCAAGCCACGACTCGTCGCGCATCCCTTTAGGTACCTATCACATCTAAATAAGATAGGGACTACATAGGTACCTGTTACACATACCACCCATTACGAGAGTAGTACCAAGCAGCTATTCGTGGTTTAGGTATTCATCCGTTATTGTACAACCATACTTTCGTCAACTAGGACATGCCATTCACTTTAGGCACGATTAACTCACTTAATGGGTTGGGTACCTACTCATCAAGTTTATTGTGCAGGGGTAGGCTATGAAATTCATAATGTAGACGGGTGATAGAATATCGGAATCTTTTCGATTTGCTGCCCTTCAACAACGGTGGATTATGAGCATTTGGCTTATTAGTGCTAGCTTTCGCCTACTCGCACCCAGAGGAGGAAGCGAAAGCCAACACTAATAGCGACAACTTTACACATACATATGATTACAGATTAGGTTGGTTAATTGTATTCAACAACTCTCGCAGGAGTCATGTATAGAATGGTATATCCTACACTCAAGTGAGCTTCCATGTAGACCTGCCTTAATCAAGCACCTTTATCCAAACCTCCAAGTTCCAAACCAGACCAAGAAGCGAAAATGACTGTCGAAGACGAGCTTGGCGACTTGGGTACGCACTTCTTAACCAACAAACCAACTACCGCCCATCCACCTAGCGTAACCAAATAAGTGCTGTAGACACATTTACCTTTTCGCACTAGCCCGTCGAATACCTGCAAGTATGACTTAGGTACTCCTCGTCCTGTATCTAGTGTTATATACTATTAAGTGATCCGCCGCGCATGACTCTAACAGTGCCGCCGCTCGCAGCGTTACCACCGAGTGAACCCGGGGCGCTGAGATCACTTCCAGCATCATCGGTGTGTCCTTGAGTCTTTCGTCTCGACAGCTCCAAGGCGCGTTCGCGTTCGCGCTCATTGCGCACGGCCGCCGCGTCATGGTGTCCGCGGGGTAATCCCTTGCGCGAATCGAGGCGAGCACGGACTTCCTCACGTAAAGAGGACCAAGTAGTTGAGAAGAAAATAACGGAGTTCCAAACACCTTGGAGAGGCAGCACGACGGCGCTGGCCAGGTTCAGAGCGAAGCTAGTGCTCTCAGCGTAGACGAGGTCATGCACGCGGTTGATACTGCTGGGTGTCCATGTCACGAACACACTAATCGCGAAGACGAAAGATGTACGTAGGTAAGCCAACTTCACCGGATCCATATGATTAAAACGGTTGCGCCAGCGCTGGAAATTCCCCCGGACACACGCCCAGAGGCCTTCTCGCGGCGCCGGATCTGCGGTGATGCGTGTGATCGTGGTGTGGTATGGATTTTGCGACGATATAGGTGTCAGATGGCTATCCATATTATTCTTGTCGTCGAGTGGTCCGTCAAACCAATTAGTAGGCGTGGCACCGGTCAACGATGGCCCGCTGACAGAGTATGCGGTAGTTGAGTTCACCGTTGTCACCTGCACGACCTCTCGATTGATGCTGCCCATAACAGCGGCGTTCGTGAAGAGCGTCTGCTAAGCCTTTAGTTAATCTCATTTAGACGGTTTAAAACTCCATACATCGATTAAAGTACTTACCTTCTCGCCCGAGTCACGCGGCGCCGGGGGGTCCTGAGCGGGATTGCTAAGAGATAAATTACGCAGCTGATTGCGCTGTTTAAAGACATAGTAGCCAACAGCCACATATATGAAAGTTGAAAGGATGATGCAGACCCAAATCGGGAGGTAATACGTGTAGATGCGCAGGTTGGACCAGTCCTTATCTATCCAACACCATATCTAAATCTGCCGTCAGTATAGATGACCATAATATAATGATGGGGGGGGGGGGGGGGGGGGGGGTTTTTGAATGGTTTTAAAAAAAAAAAAAAAAAAAATAAAAAAAAAACAAAAAAAAAAAAAACAAAAAAAAAAAAAAAAAAAAAAAAAAATAGGGTAAAA